TTACACCTCCTTAACACTTAATTGCTATTAAGTGAGTCAAATCTCTGTCTTAAAATTTGTAATGATTATTTAAAAGTAAAAATTACCATAGTTACAGAAAAGTCTAAAAAAAATTAAATCATGGAATAAAGTATTTAACAGGCTTTGAAAAGTAATAAACCAGTTTGTTTTTCAAGTCCTAAACAAATCTCAAGTAAGCATTCTCAGCAGTCAAAATGTGTCTCCCAAACAGTGATGAACACTGTATAACAAGAGCATTAACGTTATTAATAGGAAAGGCAGGATCCACATACAGCATACTTACTTACTGACAGCTGAATCCTTATATGCAGCAGAATACTACAGCTGTACACTAACGTATGTTTGTGTCATCAAAACTAATAGCTCCATTTTAAAATCTCCAGGTAAACCCAGAATGTTAAAACTTAAGGGGCGATTTTCTGTTGTTTCTCCTAAAACTCATCAGTCTAAACTTCAAACCTCAGTGCTTTTAAAATGCAAGTTTCTGTTTGAAAAAAGATATGGTTTAATGTTAAGATATTACAGAAAATAATAAAAGGGTAGTAATCTTTTGGGAGTAAAATTATTTAGCTGATATACGGAATACTTTTTTTAACACTGAGTGGGGAAGAGAACAATTTATTTTTAAGTTTAAAAAATTCTTCAGTGGGTGGTTAGAAGGAAAGGCAGTATCAAACAAAAGTTTTAGAACAGGAAAAGTTAAAAATTTGTCTTAAGAATTTGGTACTTTTAAAATCCTATCACTAAAATGAATTTTAGGATATATGAATACAGTAAACTAAATAAAGAAAAGAGAACCTTACACTTCGTGCTTTTAGTTTAAAGTTAAAGCAAGAATTCTAAAATACTTTATGCTGCAAATAGCTGAAACAATCAACTTTTTTGAACAATGTAAAGTTCAGCTGGTTACATTTTCATTTAAAATATGCATACTGCAACCTACACAATTATTCTCAGAACAGATAAAATATGTTTTGGATTAAAGCTAAGTGCCTAGATTTCATATCTTGGCAACTGTTCTATAATTTGCTTACATTCTTTTCAAAAACATTTTGTTTACTGGAAGTACTAGTCATAGACAGACAATGATGGCATTTTAAAATATTTCTGGAAAAAATGAAAGCACTGAGCACTATATAATGCTGTCTATTGACTAAAGAATGTCTGTCTGTAGTTGTTTTAAGTAGAGGTTGATTATGTAAAGTAAATAAATTTCATGCTTTGCCATGTGATGATAATGTGACATTCCATTTCTTTCAACCCACTGAATGGTCATGTGTTCTAAATCTTCAGCATAACAAATTAAAAATAATTATGAAAATTCACAGCCAAATCTAACGCTAAAAGAACCTTTCACTATATTATTTTAAAAGCCACTATTTATTAAGGAAAGTGAAGTTAGGCTTACTTCCTAAGTGCCCGCAGAAGGAAAAAAAGGTTTTTTTGTATCTAAGAAATGTGTGTTTAGCTGAGGAGAGCATCACTGCTTCAAACTCTTCTCAAGCATTCCTTGATTTACAAGATCTAGTTTTTCTAAAAACTATGAAAATCACATTTGTATCTTTTCATGCTATTGTGTAGGTTTTAAATTTCCTTTCAATACAAAGACTTCAGAGTGAATGTCAAATGTTTACCTGTTTAAATCACTAGTTTTAGTTTTTACAATTATACTCCTCTTGCTGTAATAAAGACTGTAACTGATGTCAGGCTAAGGAACAAGCACTGTAATGAAAAAACTAAGAGGTCAATCTGAAGCAGTGAAAAAAGCACAGAACTGAAATACTACTGATTCTGCCTATCTTTTAGTCTTTTGGGGGGGTAGTTAGTAAGTGATTTATTTGGTAATTATCAAAACGACAAATTCAATATATATTACTTAGCTAATTGTTATATAATTCTTAAAATTATAAAGATTCCAAATACATTCTTAATTTACATAGCACAATAAAAGAAAATATCAACAAAACAATATTTAAATTAAATGATAAAGGCTAGATAACAAAAGAATCATATAAAGGAACTTAGTTTGACATGGCAGAAATATTAGTAAACAGATTAAAATTTAAGAAAATAGGGAGTGAAAATTCTTAGCTTAGTTAAAAAAAAATACATTTTCACATAAATGACAAACATGTTAAATGCTTTTGGCCAACTGTGCCCTTACATGTTGCTGTGAAAAAAAAAAAAAGTTAGCATAGCACAAAGTACTTTGAAGGGAATATGTGGTTGGGAAAAATGTATAATAAGTTATTTGAATAAAAATATTGTAGACAGCTCAAACTTAAATAATAAAAAAAACCCCTTTAATCTGTTTAGGCAACATTAATTTTCAAAAATCAATTTTAAAAGCTAGTGGAAATTTTAATGCTTCAAGGAATAGAAAGAGAATGTTGTTCTTTCTGAGCAATAGAAATTGAAGATAATATATACATGTATGTATATGTAAAATATACATGTTATTATAGAACATATATTGAATAAAACTTTATCTAAGTTTTCACTTACATAAAAGAAATAGTCAATGTTTATTTGAAATTTTAAAATACAGCTTAGTGATATAAACTCTTCTATGCATGAGACCACTTAATTTCTCCAAACTTCTTGTTGTTGCTGTTACATGCTACTGAATATGAACCATAATGAACCTATGAACAGCAGATCTGAACCCTGTCCTATTCCATGCCATCCTCACACTTCCTGTCACACTAGAGCCCACAGGGCAAATCAGTTTTAATGTCCAAAACATTATAAAATAGTTTTAAAGGTGATCATGCATAAATACACAAAATTGGTATATTGTATATAACTTAAAAGAAGATAATATTAACCTCTGGAAAAAATAAAAGTTCAACAGATTTTAGTTTTAATATCTTAAAATAAATGATACTATTAATTTTTTTCTATTATTAGTAGTGACAAGTCACTTATTTGATATAGAATTTTTCTTTTTTATTTCCCCAAACTGTTAGCAAAAGCCAACTATGGGAAACCTAATTCTAATTGTGTTGTTTTAAGGTTCTAATTAATAATCTTAATTAGTTCTAAGAAATGACAGATTTAAAAAAAACCAACAGTATCGGTATAGAACATGTTGTTGTTTTTCTTGACTGCCACTGAGTTGAGCCCGACTCATAGTGACCCTATGCACAAAAGTCCTTTAGTCTTTATATAACTATAGTCATTTATGAAAGTTAGAGTTTCCAGAGACATGTTGTTTAGGAAGTGGATGCTACTCCTGCTTCCAAACCTGTCTTAAACTGGGAGCTCCACCAAACACTGTCCACCATGGATAACCATTAGGGCATCTGAAACCCCAATGGCACAAGGTTCAGCATCACAGCAACCCCAGGTTACCTCAGTACAGCAAAAGAAGAATGCTGTACCACTTAGAAGAATGTTCCTCCCAAATATAACAACCGACTTTTAAAGGTCCTCCCTGAGGTCTTATTGACTCTAAACATGATGCTTAAATTAAAAAACAAAACAAAACAAAACAACCCAACCAATATGTATGTTATTGTTATGTATTGTTGAGTCATCTGTGACATATAGGAGGATATATGATAGCGACCCTATCTATGTACAGCGGCACTGAACCCTTCCCTGTCCTGAGCCAGTCTCACTAATTCTGACCCATCAAGCCCCATTGCCCCAGTTACTGTATAATCCATATCTTCTGGGGTCTTCCTCTCCTGCACTGTCTATCCACCCTTCTGAGCATTAAAAAAATAAATATTTCTTTTAGTTGGAAAATAATAAGCATTCATATTTCTCGTTATAATCCTCTAAGATATGCCAAAGTAGGATATATTTAAATGACAATAATATTTGTATACAATAAGAATAATAATTCATATGTATTAGCACACATACACACAAAAATTATTTCTTCTAACAAGGTTATACAGTTAAAGTAGGGAGTCCATAGTTTTCCTGAAAAGGAACATCTTTTATCTTCTTAAATTCTTAGGCTCATAAGAGATGCTGATGCTCAAGTGAAAGACCCAAAGCCTCACTGTGGCAGCTGCCTTACCATGATGTGGTTGGCTTTGGTCCAGCTGGGGATCCCAGCACTTTCAACTGCAAATGGCCACAATGGATTAGTAAAGGTGCTTTAAAGGGAAAAAAAAAAGCAGGGTGGCATCCACTTCCTAGACAACACACCTCTGGAAACGCTATGAACTTTGATAAATGACGATAGTTACAGAAAAGCTTGAGGCTTTTTGTTGACAGGGTTGCTATGAGTCGTGCTTGATTTGATGGCAATCAACAAAAAACTCATTTTAACATACTAGATTGGTCGAACTAGTTTCAGTTATGTTTCATGTTTGAATTTGAAAGCTGAGGTAATTAAGTGATTTCATTTACTTTGGAAAGACTCAACATAGAATAGTGAAAATACCATAGTAGTCTAAGTCAAGCAGGCCTCCAGCTGGAATCTCAGTTCTGGCAACTAAGTAGCAGTGTCCTCGGGAAAGCTACTAAGCTTTTTTTTTATGTTTCCTTGTTTGATAACAGATATCTCGCAGGCCTTTTGTAAAGACCTACTGACGCTAATACTGGGTACATAATTAATGGCACTCAGTAACTTACAATCATTGGTACTCCATAAATGGTAGACTAAAATATTGTTATACATTTCAAGATCTAACTCCATTTGCACAGATTATTAAATAGCATCAATGCCAATGCTATTAAAATGATCACTCTTAAGTTGGTCCAAAGGTTTTAATATTTTATAGTCCATGATTATTTTGCTTACTGAAGTATGGAGAGAGTCAAATATATGTCCTATGGGAACTTATAAATGAAAATGAGAACATATTTCTATCATTTGGATGTGAAAAGGAAACCTCTTGGATGGATGTTAGACTTCTTTTATGAAAGAAATGGAATAATAAATAAAAACTAAAGATAGTGTGATATATATAATTAGGAGATTAATATTTGTTAGTAATATAGAAAATAAAAATTGTCACTTAGTTTCCCATAGTGTGAAAGGCTATGAAGCATAAAAATTCACAGTAGGTGAAACATTATTAAACATAATTCCAGCATACTTGTTAAAAAATAACTTTTAAAATTCTTTGTGTAAAACCATAAATAAATCCAGGCTTACTTGTCCAATAAAGATTGGTGGAACGCCTCAAACTATGGAGTGTAGTCACCCTATGCACCTGAATAAAACTCACTCCCAAGGTGCAACTTTCAGCCAAAAAATTAGGTCTGTATTTTGACCAGTGGCACTAAGAAGATCATCCATGTAAGGTCAAAAAGAGCAACATTTGCTCAAGGATACAGCTAAGACGGCATTGTTGTGTCCCACCCAGTCAGAGCTGACCCACAGCTGACCCTCTAGAGGATTTTCAGAGGTAGTAAATTGTAAGAGAGGAAACTGTTACATTTTTCTCCTGTGGATTCAAACAGCATGCCTTTGGGTTGGCAAGCATAGCTCCTAGAGGAGCAAACACAGGCTACCAGCAGAAAGGGTACAGTATAAGATTAACAGAGATGAGATATACAGGAAGGAAGTAGGAAAAGTGTGATTATACTGTGGTATTAATATTATGAAACAAAATGTGTATTCAGGATTGAATGAAAAAACAACATGCAAACTTTCACTCTATAAACAATGTTCAGTAGGGGGAAGAGAAATTGTGTAGCTTTCTAATGCACCAATGTAAACTTTATTAAGGCACTATTGTCCTAATTTATTTGTGTTTGCAAGAAAAAATTTTTAATAAAAAGATAAAATTTAAATGTAAATTGAACATTGATAGTAAAAGATGTTTATAAATCCCATCCAACAGAAAGGATGGTCACAGCAGACTTTCTCTTCTGCTTAATGCAATATAAAGTTTTTCAAATGTGATTAATGGTTGTTTAAAAGAACAGATTAAAATGGAGTCATGATGCTTAACAAGAGAACAAGAATTTTTTTAATGGAAGAAAATAGAACTCTTTTACCTTTGTGAGGAAGTCTTGAGCTTTTCTTCTCAAACAGTTTTTGTTTTGTTACTTTTATCACTAAAAAAAGTTAAAGCGTTGACATGGAATTAGGAATAATTTCTCATATTTGAAATAAACAATTTAATTAGAAAATCTCAGTGTAATTTTCTAATGTATCACTACAAAATAATTTAAGGTAATACTTAAAATAATCAAGTATAATATGCAGTAGTTACTATATATTTTTTTTCTTCTTAAGCTTTATTTTTTAAAAATAATTTTAATGAGCATTTACAGAGATTTTGGATTTCCATTCATTCATTGCTGCACTTCTCTCCCCGCCCAGCCCTCCCCCCACAGTTACTATATTTTTTAAAACATCACTAATTTCTGAAAAGTCTACTAGCAGTTGTCAAGGTACACTTTATCCAGTCAGACCAAGAAGTATCCTCAAACAAAACGTTTTATAAAGGAAAGATATCCAAGTTCATATCTAATTAAGCGGTAGTACTTCTATGATATACTCAATATTAGTTCTATATAAAGAGAAGTCTATAAAAATGAAAATTTTGGAAAAATTAATAGGTTTTTTCTAAAACCACATTTGAAAATTCAGATTCTTACTTAGTTCTTTGGTTTTCTGCATTTCCTTTTTTAAGAAACACGACTGACAGGAGATGCCAATGAGACTTTCAAGCTCTTTGTTGTCCTTCAAAGCCTAAAAGAAAGTTACCATGAATGAGTTAACTTGTAAAAAAAAGATAAAGTTACTGATAGTCTAGAGATTAACTTGCATACCTTCATTTTAAAAACTTAAATTTTATACTAGGAAATTTTACCTTTCCTGCTAGGTTTATTATTTTAAGTCCCAAAAAGCCTATGCAAAAGTAAAAATTAACTAAACAATCAACAAATGTAATTTTAAAGGTGTAAAGTCCAGATAGTATGGCTAAGTAATATTTATATAAGAAAAATATCCACATGAAAGTAATTTAAATTTATCCTTTGCAAAAATATTTTTGAATTGGACTGTTGTTTGGGGGATTCTTTCTTAATATTTTCTTCCAATGAAATACATTAAAAGCCAGAAGTATAAAGTTATATGAAAAAGAAAAACCAAACAAATCAGACCTGTATGCTTCTTAAATTTTGCATTATTTCCATGATTTTTTCTGATGATTCTTCAACTTCAGATACTAATAACATGAATCTATAAGTGAACAAAAAATAACATAACAAAGTAAACATTTAAACATAATAAATTATTTTTAAGAGTTTTAGCTCTTAACGAAAAACCTTATATTCCATATTTTAACCTTTACCCTCTATATTGCTATAAATATTGTTATTGATATAAATGTCCCCCTTCACTCTCATTTCTTTACAGACACAATACTTGCCTATTCACAACTACCCTCAATGGTTACAGTTTCACTTTCTCATTTCCAATGAGCAATGGGAGAAAAGGGAGAAAAGACGCAGTTGGCTCACTCCTTCCTCCACAAAGCCACTGTGAGAACCCTAACCCACCACCTTCCCCATCATTTCTTTTGATCAGTGTAACCCAGGGATTTTTTTTTAAATATGAGAAGTTATACCTTAAACAAAACCCCCAAAAGCCCCCTACAAACAAATAAAATATAAGCACTAAAGTATATTTTAAAATTTGAAAGGGGAACAAAACAAAATATTGTACTTCACTTGTAATCTTATCTAGAAAACTTTCAGTTAGCATCTTGGAAAAAGCTTTCCTGGTTTGTTTGGGGTTTTTTAAGTGTTTCTATAAGATTGAAGGCAAAAGCAATAGCTTCATCTTGTTTGGATCCACAATTCAACCCTTCATACCAGAAGTCAGGAAATAAGGAGATGCACTGCCCTCAAAAAATCTGTAATTAGGGACCTCTCCAAATTAATGAGCAGTAATGATGCCAGTTTGAGATTTAAGGTGCATCTGATTTGGGCCACAGTCTTTCTGATGACTTGCTATGCATCTGAGATCTGGACAGAAGTCTGTATAGGAATGACAGAAAAAGAACTGATGCCTCTGAGCAGTGGTATTGGAGAAGAGAACTGAACATTCCATGGACTGCAAAAAGAACAAATAAATATGTTTTGGAGAGAGTGCAGCTGGAGTGTTCTCTCTAGGCAAGAATAATGAAGCTTTGCTTCACACAGTTTGGGCATGTTGCTGTTTCTCTTGTTGTTAGGTGTCATTGAGTCACTTGTGACTCACAGCGACTCTATGTCCAACAGCTCAATCCTGCTCTATCCTGAGCCAACGTTATTGTCTTTGACACACCTACCCTCATTACCCCAGTCACTGAATTGACCTATCTTATCAAGGGTCTTCCTCTCTTGAGTTGTCTCTCCACCCAACCAAGCATGACGTCCCTTTCCAAGGATTGTTTCTCCTTGCAACATGCACAAAGTATGTCAGAAGATGCTTCAGAATCTTTGCCTCCAAGGAGCAGCCTGGTCTCACCCTCTGGTCTCATCCAAACAGGATGAACCTGTTTGTTCTCCTAGAAGTCCATGGTATATTCAATACTCTTCTCCAACACCACACCTCAAAGGCTCCTTTGTCATCCCTAGTCATTGTCCAGCTTTCTGACACATAGCAAGTAATTGCTAACACCATGGCCTGAATCAGGCACACTTCAGTCTACAGACTGACACCATTCCTTTTCAGTATTCTGGAGAAGTCCCTGATAGCAGAGTTTCCCACTGCAATTCATCTTTCGTGTTCCTGGCTGCTGGTACCAAGAGTGTTGATTGTGGAACCAAGCAAACTGAAGCTGTTAATAATCTCAATCTCTTCACCATCTATCATGATGCTACCAATCAGCCCAGTGATGAGAATCTTTGTTTTTTTTGATGTTAAGCTTCAATCTATATTGGAAGCTGCAGTCCCTGACCTTCTGCAGCAAGCACATCAGGTCCACCTCTTTTTCAGTAAGCAGGGTTGTGTCATCTGCATAATGCAGGTTGTTGATGAGTCTTCCTTCAGTCTTGCATGTTGCTAGGAGGTGCTATTCCTTGGAGAGGGACATGATGCTGGGAAGGATAGAGGGTTGGCAAAGGAGAGGAAGACCCTTGACCAAGTGGATTGACACAGTGACTGCTGCAATGGGTTCTTGTGTGTCAGGAAGTATGAGGGTGGCACAGGATAGAACAGGATTCAGATCTTTTGTTCTTAAGGTCAGTATGAGTCATACTTGACTCGATGGCACCTAATGCTAACAATATAAATTTCTATTTTCTATAATTTTGTACTGTACTTTCTTACTATAACAGCACACATTTTGATATGCCTACTTCGTATACCTTAAACTTAACATTTTTAAAGGCTGAAGAATATTCTATCCAGTAAATATATGAAAGATGATTTAATTATCTGCTTATTTTTAAAACTTTGATTGTTTACCAAATCTAAGTCCTCTTTTTGTATTTAATCTTTCCGGGCACCACTGCCTTTGAGTAGACTCAGACTCATCAGGCATCTGTCAGATGTCCAAGGCTGTAAATCTTAATCAAAGGGAGGAGACTGCTTAGCTTTCTCCCTTGGGGCAGCTGGTGGATTCAAACTGCTGACCTTTTAGTTAGCAGCTCAACGCTGAAAACACTGTATCACCAGAGCTCCACATTAGAATATTCTAATACAACATGTATAATTTCAAACATTGTAGATTGTTTTTGTTATGTGCTACTGAGTGACTCTTATAGTGATCTTATGTACCAAGGAATGAAACCCTATCTTGTTCCTCTACCATGCTTAACCTCAGTAGTGATCTAGAAGCCTCTTCTTTAAATCAATTAAGGACTTGGTAAGTGGGCCTTCATATTTTTTCATTATTCTTTTTTTTTCCAAACCATTTTAATGAACATTTACAGAGATTTTGGATTTCCATTCATTCATTGCTGCACTTCTCTCCCCACCCAGCCATCCCCCCACCCCAGTTTGCTCCTCTCTTTGAAAAGTAAAAGAAACACTCTCTCCCTGATACACAATCCCCCCCGCACCCCTCCCACCACCCCAAGTACATTCCACTATGCAACCTTAATTGTGGACTCTTGTGATAACCATAATACCCTATCATATATCGCTTTTAA